TGTACTTTTATACATCCGTAATCTGCTATAGCTTTGTTCTAAATTGCGCTTATGTTAACTTTGCTGTGAAGTTGGCTATCAAAAGACAACCTCTACTGTTTTTTCTAATAATTTTGGGCATGAAGGGAAAGAGAGAGATATAGAAAAGGCGAAAGGCAAAAGACGGGGACGTTAACCAGATGGCCGTCCGGTTTGCTACTCTTCACTGGCGATGAGAGAGGGGGGCAAGAAGGTTGCCACTAAACTCTAGTTGTCAAGCGCCGACTGTAAGTAGCTACTTGCTCTACCTCTGCAATTAACTTTCTTTAAGGCTGTATGAGGTTTCCCAATATAATACATAAATGTTAAGGTACATGATATGTTCAAGTGAAGGGTCATCGCCATATGCAGGTGCACAAATAATCTGGTGAATTCGGACTGATTCTTAGCGAACATTAGTTTAACTAGACTTAAAATTCGGCGGGATGGCGCATAGTTAACAGAAAATAAGGGCGCAAAAAAAAAACATTCACAAGCACCAATCCTCTCATCTTTTTCTTTAAAATGTTGTTCATCGCGCTCACGAATTCTCGTTAATTTTTCATACACTTGTTCAATGTAGCACAAAAGAAAAATGCAATAAAAAAGATTATTATCTTCGAATCTCCTTCAATGTCAACTACTCAAGTTCTTTTCTATGGTCTCACTACGGCTTGGATAACTGAGGTTATTTCAAAAGATATCCATATTGGTACTTCTAGCACTTCCTTCATTTTGGTAGTATTTTGGAGGCCTGATGGCGCTATATAAAAGTAATGTCCTTAAGTTAAATATGCAAGGAGCATTCACAATATAACCATTCCTTATATGACTCGGCAACGCCACCACACTAAAAAATTGCCTTTTTTTATGCCAACTACTTTCAGAAGCTTGAATGCAATAGAAGAAATGAAGAAAGTGGACAGTAAAGGCAGTGAACATATCGCTTCATGTAAAGTTCTAATACGCCAGAAAGAACAATCAATACGATTGATTGATATGTGGTGTTTAACGTCCCAAAACCACTATATGATTATGAGAGACGCCGTAGTGGAGGGGCTCCGGAAATTTAGACCACCTGGGGTTCTTTAACGTGCACCCAAATCTGAGTACACGGGCCTACAACATTTCCGCTTCCATCGGAAATGCAGCCGCCGCAGGAACAATCAATACGAGCGCCTCACTTCGTCATGCGAAAAACAAAACCCTTTGAACATCACAACAATCAGACACTGTCTGGTGTAAAGCACAGTGTTAACTTCGCATTATTAGCCAAAAACGCAAAACTTGGTAACATGTGGATGCATGCACACAAGAAATGTAGACCTAGTCGAATACTACGACATAATCTTCCTTTGATTGCGTATGTTTAGCGTTATAAAAGCACTCCTTCCCTAAAAAAGAGTGATTAGCAAATCGACATGACACTTGAATAAGACAAGCCACAGAATCCGGTTCTTAACGCAGCAATTTAAAGGTTACTGCCAGTTCGTTCTCGAAGACTCGTTAAATGGCGAAGTACAAGAGGCTATACTTGCTGAAATAGATGTTACACTGATTGTTTTACATTACAGCGAAACCATGTAGAGGAAGACAATGCTCTGAAGCAACCACTGCCATCATTAATTTCATCCTAGGCTCCAGGCGGTGCATGCACAAATTAGATTTCTCTCTGTTCTGGCCATTTTATTCCCTCACTTCCTCGAGTGAGAATGCTGCTGGCAGGTCTGATATAAATCCTATAACTAAGTGTCTCAAATGTAACGAGGATTCGACAAACCTAATATTTTTCAGTCGCTTAGTGCTGTTGCAGTTCTTTTCTTGAACTGAAAATTCATTACGTTCGCTAAGCTTTTTCTTTTACTCTTTCTATCGTCGAAAGGCGGTTTTTTCGGTGGTGGGTCTTGTGAAAGCGACGAATGTCGCGAATGCGACGTGGCCGTCAACAAAAATTACCAAGCCAGCGCTGTCAACTCCAGCCATTTAACTTCTCATTCGAGCGTGTCGCAGCACCGAGCGAAGCGAAAGAAAGCTCCCAGCAGCGTAATGCCAGAAACGGAATTGCGAAGACCAGGAGGTGGTGAAAGCGCATCAGGCGCCGGCATGAAAAGAAAATGGAAAAGATAAAATGTTAAAAGTGAATGAAGGCATCCTATGGAAAGACTGAATAAACTATAGTACATGCCAAAACTTTTGAGCGGTCTGTTGCTCTTTTTCTTTAGTGGCTAGCATTGTCTTCTTTTTATTAGGACACTATTACTGCTATTTCTTTCTGCGTGGTTAAAAACGTACAAATAGCCATCTTAAAGGGTTTCTTAAACCCTCTTAAGACACACAGGAGGGGCACGCTATGGTTTGCTGGCGTTTCCAGTGTTTCCTGCGCAATTCTTGACGCCAGTACGCTGTTCACGTGATGACGTAATGAAATAAGCTATCGGTTGGTCAATATACGAGAGATTCCTACTGTGAATTGTTTCCTACCCTGTCTTGCCATGCCGTCGTACACCCTTTCTGCCTCTTCTAACATGGCTATCGTGCGAGATTAACTGATTTGACTTTGTCTTGTGTGTTTATTTTTTTTTTACTGCGGAAACGAAAATACCAGAGGGCGCCTTAAAAGCTTGATATATTTGATGGGCTTCACGCTTGGCGCTGAAAATGTCAGCGTATTTCAAGTTTAACAAAGTGGTGAGGGATATATGGTGCCTCTAAAAAGGGTTACAAAATCTAGAAAGATACCACTTTCCTGTGTTTGAACACGCAGTGGTTTTCCACTGGCGAGGCTTTCCTTAGCCCAAACACAGTATGCTAATCCAGTTAATGTTAGGTGACGAAACTGCGCGATATAATACTACGTGAGCAAGCAAACAGCGTGAAAACAGATCACCTAAAGGGCTCTTAAACAGCCTTAGAAAATAGAAAAATTGTGGGCTTTATTATCTGCCAGCGTTTCCCGCTCTTAAGGTGAAATTCGTGACTTCAGCAGTTTGTTTACGTGACATTATGATGAAATAAACTCTCGTGTATACGAGAGGCATGTGTTGTGAATTGTCTCTTACTCAGCTTTGCATTACAGTAGCATGCCCTATCTGCCTTGTATTGCGTGGCCATCGTGGGGGATAACCCGTTTTCCTTCGTTTACAGACTTTACGACTGCACGCGCTGAGATGGCAAAGAGTAGTCTGAAAGTGAAAAAAACCTGACAGGCTCAACGCTTGATGCTGGCATTCCGCGTGTTTCGGGAAGAGGTGAGTGGAGAGGTGGAGATGACGCTTGTCAGAAGAGTATTAAAAGCGAGAAACAAACTGCTGTCTCGCCTCAGAATTCGTTGGTTTCCGGAGCCCTTGAAAGACCACACACCCGGCTCTCAAAATAAAAAAAATTCAAAAATGTGTGCAATATTTTCTCCAGATATTTATTGTCCTACTTGCGTCCTTCTGTGAAAAAGACAGTAGTTCCCGTGACGTCTATAGCGTACATGCTCTCGATTGGTTCATATACGTGAAATATCAGATGTGATTTGTCTCCTGCACTACTTTGCCATGCAGCCGCTCATCTTTTCTTCTTTGTCTAGCGTGAATATTGTGCATGATGAACCGATCACACTTCATTTAGTGTGTTTACGACTGTGCAATCGTTGGTAACCGCGTGTAGCCTAGAAACGCGAAATCCTCATAAGCTCTAGCACTCAGTGCCGACATTGTTTTGACCAGCAAGGTGGTGCCGGTGCGAGATTTCTCCTGTGCGTTGTTGACCAATAAAAAATTCTCAGCATGCGCGTTCACTAAAAACCGAATTCTCCTGCCTCTCATTCCCCATTAGCAGCCATTGGTATGTACATTGAGAAACATCTGACAAGAAAGGGTTGCTACGTTATACTCACCGGGCGTGACCTCCTTCGTTTTAGAAAGGTTTAGCGAGCGTTGGGCCGCAGTGCCATGAATACAGTGAACTAGTATATACCATGAAGTCGAGGAGGTTAAAGGTGGGAAGTATACACAAAGTGCAAGCCGTAAGAAAGTGTGCGTGTGCCACCGAAAAAATCGAAACACGGTCACCTTCCCTCCACATGCTTTGCATAGCGTCAATTCCCAGGTACGTGGGACCTGACGAACTTTTTTTTATAGTGAGATTGTTATATCGCATCAATAACGCATAGAGAACAAGACCCTCTTATTTTCGGTGGCATGATACGCAAGGCATTGGCATATCAGACAGCAGACTGTGAGATTTTATTGGGAATTCACCTTGAGCTTCGTAAAGTGCAAGGTTGAAGTCTGGAGGACAGTTAAATGCGAGATCAGTGTAAGCTTACAAACATACTGCCCTTGGTTGAAAAGAGGGAACTCTTGAATTTATACAATCACATGAATTTTTCCTGTTATTATATACGAATAAACAATGTCGCATTTGACTTCTTCACCGACCTTGTTTGTTTTATTTTTCAGTTAGTCACAGCTGCTTCTCTTTACCTACGACTATGCGAGGTCGGGTGAGGCACGGTTTAGATGATGCTACGAAAATTATTGGAACATCATAAGCTATAAGCATTTATGCGTCAATGGCCTGTTAAATATTCATGCCTTGAGACGCGTTAGAAGGACACCAAATGTTTTCAGTGTATATAAGCACTGTTTGTTCAAAAATCGGTAAGTCTCACCGGTTGCTTTGACTACTGACTCCGATTCGTGGACTCTCCACAGCAGAAGCGCGTCAAATGTGAAGCCAGAAACTCATTTAGCATGCTATTACGGCCATCGATTGACCTCATTACTTAACTGCACTGTTCATGCGCACTCTTGCCATCTCCTAGAAAAACGAGGGCACAAAGTCGCGAGGATTTGAACCCTGGCGCTCACGTGGATTCGCACCCCCCCTTCTCACACGTACCAACACGGGACCCCTACGCCGCGAAACAGGTCAAGCGTGACCGCGCGTCCCTAGGCACCGCGTCACGGTGGTCGGTCACGTTGCGCACCCACCTGACACGGCAGCCGCCAGGAGTAGAAACAGACCGACCCATCGACGTCGTCCCCAACCCCGCTGGTTGCAACATCTGAAGTCAGTAGCACAGGTGAAACTTGCGTAGCATAAATCCATGGTCGGGACGTTGCCTCCATGGACGCGGAGTCCACTCCGCAACGCCTCAACTGTGACGGCTTGCGCAATATGATTCCACTGAACACTGCCCACGGACACTGGTCGGCTCTCACGGTCTTAGTGAAGCGGCCGTGCGACGGCGGCGGATCTTCGATCCGCGGTTTGCTTTCAAGCGGCGCGCGTCGACTCACCCCGCGGGCGTCTGAACACCGAGTGAAGGTACCGCATCCAGTGTGGAGTGGCGCTGCCTCCGCGTGGGCGCGCCTGACGCTGCTCGGAGCGCCCCCCATCTTTCGTGAATTTTGAGCATGAGGAAAAAAAGAGAAGTGACCGTTTTAGGGCCTACCGAAGGTTGCTGTCATCGGTGTGCCTGGCTGCAAGCCCTTCTCTTCATTTTTGAGCAATTGCCCTTCGTATTTCTAAGATGTGAGAGTCCCTGCACGCTGTCCATTGCTTCGTCTTTCTTTCTTTCTTTCTTTCTTTCTTTCTTTCTTTCTTTCTTTCTTTCTTTCTTTCTTTCTTTCTTTCTTTCTTTCTTTCTTTCTTTTTTTCTTTCTTTCTTTCTTTCTGTCTTTCTTTTTTTCCTTCTTTCTTTCCTTCCTTTTTTCCCTCTTTTCTTCTTTCTTCCCATTTTCTTTCTTTCATTCATTCTTTCTCTCGTTCTTTCAGGCAGAAAAAAGGACACCGTCCTTTTTTTCTGCCTGAAAAAAAAAAAGGTCCTGTACAGCACAAAAGGCCCTGTATAGGTCCTGTATAGCACAAAATGCTATACAGGACCTTTCCTATCGTCGAAAACCTTTCTCGCTTTGCAGTAACAAACTTGTCCGACGAATGGCTTTGAATCCACATATACGGTGTCATTAACGAACCCCTTTATATAGCAAAATAATTATTCGGCGTGAAAGAATGTAGTATAATAACGTGGCTTCGCAGAATAACAGTCCTAAGTCTAACAATTGTGTTTTATTTTATTGTTTTTGTTTGTTTCTGTGTCTCTTTTTCATCAATTGTATTGTGTTGCTGTTTCCTTGCGATATTAATGAATGGGCAGGCATAATAAGGTTATATAAATATACAAGATCGGCAAAGGCATGCCCATATTTATCCCCCGTGTATGAACCAAAAGGTAACTTCTTTTTTTTTGATTTTGTTGGTAATGCAGAATAAAACTCGTTGCACTTTTGGCGGTAGATCTACTTCTGCTTGCAGTTATCAGTTTTCATGCATTCGTGTTGAAAATAAGTTCGCTTGAGTAAGCACAGTAAACAGTTTTCGAACCAGACAGGGGAGTCCACAAAATAGGCGGGCGAGCAAATAGGCAGGCTACGTGAGCCCCCAGCTCACACTGTTTGCCTTTCTCTACCCGAAACTAGTTGCTGGAAGCAACCTCTGTTTGGTGGGCTTTCAGTTTGAATTGATAAGGACCTTTGACGGAGCACACTGATTAACAAAAGCCCCGGGGTAGCTACACCGCATTTTTGTCACGGCTCTGCATTACTAATAACACGTTACCTCTGCAAATCCTTCAAAAACTTTGTCAGGGAATGTTCGAAAGAAATATTGTAATGTGTGGCTGTAGGCAGATTTTAGGGAGAACGATAGTGCTTTAAATACTCCTGCATTGTATACGGCTTTCGTTTCTAAACAAACATTTGAACGTTGGTACTAAATCACGCAAAGCTTAAAACAGCCAATACATGGACACGTCGCCGCTTGAAATTTCCGTCGATCGACACGTTCCGCTTCGAAAAGTGCGGCTTCCTCCGCGGGAGTATGCAATCTCTTCGGACGCCTCATGGCTCTCTAGGTATGCTCGCATTGTCTCATAGTGTCCATAGATAGGTGAGTGGTTAGTTGGCTCGCCTTCGAATTAGAGGTATGCAGGCTTGAATTCCACGTCACGACAATGTTTCCGCAATAATTTTCTGCTTTCTTTGAATTTTTTCTTTCTCACTAGTTATTGCTCTCTCGTACTTTGGTGTTCGCTGTTTTCTTTTTTTCCTATTATTTCTGCCCTTCAATTATTTTCTCATTATTTCTGTGCACGCTTCACTGTCTCTTTTTTTCCTTATTCTTCATCATCCCATTTCTGCTCCTCACACTCAGTTTCTTCTGCAGCTGCATCGCTACACTATATTATGTAACCTCATGTAATAACCGTATTGAGCGTTAAGCCCACAGCTTTGGATGTCAGCCACTATCACCCGTCAAAGAAGATCGTACAGCACTAGCTTATTCAGTAAACCTGTCATCGTCATATTTTATCCCCTGATACTAGCTCGACAGCGTAGGATTGTCGCACAATAGGACCTTCGACCTCATTATAACTTTCCAACTTTACTCAAAAAAACGAAACATCATAATCGTAAAAGTTGAAACGAAAATATCATGTGAAAAAGAGAACCGAAGGTATAGCCAAGTGAACAAGACTGCCACTAACGAGTCGGAGTTTGCGCGATGCAGCAATCACCCCATCCCAATGATCTTCCCTTCCCGCCGTCCTGATTCTTGTTTTGTTTTTGCCTCTCTCTATTCAACCCACAGGCTAGCAGAACGAAGACAGCCGACTGTCTTAACGGGAGAGAGCCTAGCCAGAGACTTTTCTTTGTTGAGCTTCCCCACGTAAAAAAAGTGAAAGCACCAGACCAGAGAAGCACAGGCGGCAACAGTCGTGGACGTGCAATAGCATACGGCAACACAAGTGGAAAGTCCGACTACGCATAAAATACAAACATTCAATACGCCGCTCAGAAAATAAGAGTGCCCGTGTGAAAGAAGCCAGCTGATCGATCAGAGTCGAGTAAGATAGCACTCACTTATATTACACGTGCCTTTCTTTTTTTGCGTGATGTTCCGCTTTGCTATTAACGGCCTTCCTTTCTTTCTTTCTTTCTTTCTTTCTTTCTTTCTTTCTTTCTTTTTTTCTTTCTTTCTTTCTTCCTTTCTTTCTCTCTTTCTTTCTTTCTTTGTTTCGAATTGCATGATGTTCTCTCTGATAAGTTATAACGTGCGATAGTTCTGGTTAAGACAAGAACTTGGACATTTTCACTATTATCAGTGAAGAAGGGCGTTACATTAGAGATGCGATAACGATAGTTTCAGCGTGACCACGAATTCAGCTTCACGTTACTGCTTGACAAACGCGCATTGGTCAAGTGGCGATAAACTCTTATATATGCGTCAATTTACCGATAGTGAGAGAATATTACACCACTGCTTTGACAGTAGATAATCGTATAAATAATAAATTGACAATATTTAAATCTTTGTCGTCATAGATATTATTTATTACACTTAAGTTAAAAAGACTTGCGGTTAATTGGATTTTTACTGCTTAGGTAGGTACGAGAGAGAGAGAGAGAGAGATAACTCTCTATTATCGCTGACTTGCTACTCCACTAGAGGAAGGGGATTGGTGATTAAAAGGAATGGACATAGATAACAAAAGTTGTTAAGACATGAATTAGAATTTTATAAAAATACACAAAAAGGTGATATCTTTTATGATTGAATGGGAACGTGAGCTTACGATGATCATAGAAACTTCATCATGTTCAGAGAAGATGCAGGAGAGACCCCGCGCAACCCGGCTAGTCCAACGTAACGACCGCCAAGCCGAGCTTGGTGGCGTTAATAGTTTTTTTTTTTTTTGTCGTTTCAAGGTACGGCTAGTTTGTCTAGCTGACCAACTGATACTATCCAACTATGGGAACAAAAGTTTCATCGCGCGCCTCCGCAAACTAAAGGTCCTAATACACAGTAAAATGAGAAAGTTCTTTTGGTTATGCAATTCACGCGATCTTCATAGAGCGCACGCTTCATTACCATACCCTTTGCACTCAAACTAGACGTGTTCCAAAGTTTTCATGGAAGCACAGTTGTTTTGGTACGGACTGAAATAGTCCTGAAGAAGTAGTACCCAAGTTTTCACCGAGGAACGACCATAGGCCGCTCTCATGTCTGGACGTAGAGATGGAAAATCTGTTTCGCATACCCCTGCCGCCCTAAAAAACGCCAGGCCTGCGCGGAAGGCGCAGCACACTGGCAGTCACCACGAAAACTATAGAAGGGCGACCTTTCAGAGCCTTTTCAAAACACTCATTGGGTAACTACTGCAAGCACATTTGCTTGATGCCAACTAGGGCATTATCAATAAACTTTTGGATAGTAGGCCGGCATTCGCTATGCAATTTTTTTGTAATTCTTCTGAGAAGCCGGGTATCGGCTAAACATTTGCAAGGAATTTTGTGCCAATTGCTCTTGCAGTGGCTGACGACGATGAGGAATCATGGCGGAAGTGGGTATGCGCCACAGTTAATAGGGGAACAAGAACAAGCTTTTGTAATGGGTTGCAGCATCGAACGGCCCACTCGTTACTCTATTCGTCTTGTGCGACGACTGTTTGTCTTCTTGTTGTTTTAAAACGGTATATAAGTCGCATTAACGCGATTGCTTTCCCGATATCGAGCCTGCCTAAGGTAAGTTTGCCAGCTAGTCACAAACACCAGGCGTAGCTCAGTGGTAGATTGCTGGGCTGGCACCCCGCGGACCTGGGTTGGTTGTCCACTGTGTCAATGGTAGCCATGTTTTTTTTTTTAATCAATTTCTCGCGATGCGGTCACAGGACACCAGTGGTGGCGGTAGCGGCTGGGACAACTGCGCGTGACCCGAGTTGTGATCTTAGTAACTTCTTTCGCTGTAAAAGAATAATAAATGAGTACTTGAAATTTTGCGACCAAAAGTGCTGCCTTCGCAGCACATTGAAAGATACACATGTGAGATTGAGCATCGGTAAATAAAGCATCGTTTATATTAGGTAACGGATAAAGGCCCCATTAGAAAATTTTCACTGATAGACAGATACAGTCATAAAAAAGTACAAGGTAATGCAGATGTAGCCCACAAATAGGCTCGAATAAGAGTGTTGAAATTTCGAGTATGATGCTGTGCTGTGTGTGCAAAAAGAATTTTTAATAATAATAATAATAATAATAATAATAATAATAATAATAATAATAATATAATATGTACAATGTAAATTCATTTTCTCTACTTTGCCTGCCGTCTTTCAAAGCGTCTTTTAACCAAACTGTTGTATTACGGCATTTCTGGGGCTCTCAGTTCCAAAACGAATGCATTGCCCCTCGTATATTTAGAAAAACTTCCCGCTTTTCAGTGCCATTCGTCAAAACATGATAT